ATACATACATACATACCATTACATTACATTACATTACATTACATTACATTACATTACATTACATTACATACATATATATATATACATATGTATAAGGCAAATTCATAAATTCCCATGTATTGGGCTCTCTATGTCCGACGATTAGGCCTCTCGGCCAGAGCTCAGCCTATGGGTCTCTCGCAGTCCGGAAGCTCCCAGGCGTTTAGGATTCGGTGGAATTGGTCTGGTTTTGTTGCCCCCCCTACTTCGCACGGACGAGCCCGCATGGCAGGGTGCCAGGACTTCGGTGAGTTCGCCTCATCCCTAAACTCCAGGCCAAGCAGGGTTTGGGACAGAGAGTTTGGGATTAATGACCATTTACAACACCTACCACTCTACCAGAAACCCCTAAAGCCTAAACCCCTAAACCCTAAACCCCTAAACCCCTAAGCCCTAAGCCCTAAACCCCTAAACCCCTAAGCCCTAAACCCTAAAACACATTCAGCTCGAGAGGCATAGGCACGGCTCCCAGCAAGAAGCTCAACTTCGGGGAAGCCGTGCTGCCTCCACTCCGGAAGGAAGGGGTTGCCCGACCGAGGTGACCTAAACACTATTACTATTACTACTATTATTATTATGATTGCTACTATTATTATTGTTACTATGAGTATTATTGCTATTATAAATACCCTACCTATAAACGCAAGCCGAAGCGCATGAACCTCAAGCCACACCCCCCTCCCTCACCCCAAGACCACACAGGCTGTGCCTCCACGCAGTCGCCCAGAAGTTGCATGGCTAGGCCGCCTTGGCAGCTCAGCTTAGGAAGCCAAGACTGACCACGATTCTGAAAGGCACTTCTTTCACTAGGGTCTTCGGCTCAAGTCTTTGTGCAAAAGGGGCATCAATTACTTTGAGTTGCGCGTGGGAGGTTGGATGGTCAGGTTTTCGATTGTGAGGTGCAAGAAGTGGGATAAAGGACGTTGGATGCAAGACCGCTGAGGTTTGGCTTTGGAAATTCAGAACACGTACAGTCCATCCACCTTATGGGGCGAGCTCAGGCTCTTTCCCCAGGCCCTACACCCTGAATTCAAGCCCCAGGCCCTGTACTGAACCATCCACATCACTCACCTCACCCTAGTGATTCAATTCGAAGTGTGCCTTGGTCTCTACAGTTACAGCAAGCAACTAGATAGGCAGGGAGCAACATGGCTGGCCTCTGACCCAGTATATGATAATAGGGACCCATCGCACTGCCGTGCAGTATCCCTGATAACAATACCCTAAACCCTAAACCCGAAAGAAAAAACCTTAAACCCTAAACCCGAAAGAAAAAGCCCTAAACCCCAAACCCTAAAAGAAAAAGGCCTAAACCCTAAGGACAAAAGCCCCAGTTACATAAAGGATTCTGCTCGAGCTGCCACGGCACAGCGGCCAGGGGGAGGCCCTGGGCGAGCAAAAGGCCGGCGCCTGACACAAAGTGGGGGCCTTAATAATTGGAATAGGGCTTTGGGGCGTCTAGTATGGTTTCGGGCTACGAAGTTTTATGTTTCGAGTTTGCCTTAGTTTTGGGGGGCTTTTTAGGGGTCTACAGTCTACCCGTGGGCTCCATAGTATTTCCTGTTTGTGATTCATATTTGGTGTCCTATACGGTGTTCCCAAAAAGGAACTACTATGGAGCCTATGGGTAATAATTAGAACAGGGTTCTGGGGCATAAAAATACTATAATTAGGGGAAGAACACAACAGACACAAGTGTTCTAACAACCTCTAACAAGGGAGTGCTACAAGCAAAAATAAAAGGGTTTTGGGGGGGTATATTACACGATAATTGTAATTAATGAGGACCCCCCCAGAAGAGGTTTGTGAAAACCCAGGTAATAATTAAAATAAGTTTTTTGGGGGATATTATACTATAATTATAATAAGGCACCCCCGAAGTAGTACAGGTAATTATTCAGGCCCCTATATTACAAGATCGCGCGTTGCAAACTCCATCAAAATCCTACGAGAAAGGCGGAAAAAGAAGCCGATCTCAGATTGGCAGATCCACTGCTAAGGTCTGAAGATGCTTCATGAGCGATTGGTGGAGGCCTGGAACTGCTCTGCTGGGAGCAGAACAATTCTAGCATGTTCGTAACTATGGGCTCGATCGCTTGTGGCGACATTCCAGGCATGCTTCTTTCGATGCTGCTGAAGATGCCATTATTAGCAAAGCAGCAAGGTTTGAGTTTTGCGTCAGCGATGCAGATTCTACCAGCCCTAAGGGCCAGAGAAGCCGTAATCTCCGAAACGATGAGGGATCGATTCAGTTGCGTCGCCTTTCGTAAGATACCACAACTGTGCAGCAACTTGTCCAGAGACTTGTTGGCAACTCCCCTCAATATCTTGCGGAATGCGTCCAAGTCGTCCAGCTCAACTGCTTCATTGAGGCACCCCGGGACTGAGAATGTCACAGAAACGTCATAGTTGTCGGCATGTGGGCGGTACATCGAGCAATACGGGCTGCATGCTGAATCCGGCTTGCGAGCAGCCTTGAACAGTTTCACTTGGTCCGTGCCAAAGTTTCCACACCCTTGGCTATGGCTATTGTTGACAACTTCTACCTTCACCACGAAGCGAGAATCAAAGGTGGTGCCGGTCACCTGTGCAGGGTCACGCAGGCCACAGGCAGCGAAGTGTGTTCGCTCATCTGCACTGCTGGGCTCAGGCAACAGAAAACCGTCACCACTGTTCATGCTCAATTGTATGGGGGGAGCCCGCGAGACAACCTTCAAACTGACTTCTGAGCCTCCTGCATAAGCCGAGTCCATTCCGGGGTCCACTGCGGCTAGCAGCGCAACTTGGCTGAGGAGCATCTCTGTGGGCAGAGGCGTCTCCAGAACAGAGGTTAGCCTGCCATGATGGGTGCCTGCCTGTTGCTGTTGTAGCTGAACGTCTGAGAACCACCATTCGGAGACTTGACCAGTCGTGGGAGCAAGCAGTTTCAGGGCGGTCGGTTTGAACATTCTGTCGGAGAGCCACAATAGGAGGGTGGAATCACGAACTGCAAGACTTCCTGGCCCATCATCTACATGCAGCTCCCTCTGCAAGCCATACTGAAACAGGCAAATGCTGATGCCGCTGGGAAATGTGACTAACTCCTCCACTACACAAGAAGTTCCGAAGCCTGCTTTTTCGGCCCCACACAAGCACGTGCTTGCTGTTGTCATCATGTCACGCGGTTTATCCACAGATGCCTCCCAAACCTCATGCATCCACATCGGTGCAAAGACGACAGGAAGCTGCTCCACGCGAAGCGAGATGTTGCTTCTTGCATCTAAGTCCGGGACATACCAGACCGGATTATTCTGTTGATACAGCCACCGGCGTCTCTCGTGGAAGTCGACCAGTCCAGTCGAGGCTGAGTCATTCTCCGCAAAATGAGCCGGATTGATGGGTGCCTCCAACGACAGATTGGTTGCCTCCCCAATGCGAAGCAAGTGGACCGTGTACCAGGTGGGAGCTTCTTGGAGGTGACTCGAAGCGGCGACGATGAGCCGGCTGTATAGTGGACCCCCTGGAAAGAACACCAGAGCCTCTCCAGTTCTTTTGCCAGCTCCCGCTTCGGTGTCGACATTTTCATCGAAGATAAATTCGAAATCCTGCCGGAAACCGTCGCCATCATAGGCACTCTCCAGATGAAACTGAACCTTGGAGGTGTACTTGCCTGCCTCAAACCGAAATACAAAATTGTCCACACTGGTATGAAGCAGCAGGGTGTTCTGAATTGCTAAACCGTTCGCAGGAATGGAAAGCTTGCCATGGCTGAAAGAATAATCAATCAGCTCGCCCCGCATCGTCATTCCATCAATCTGAAGCAGAACCAGAATAACCAACGCAAAAAAGCCCAGCAGGCCAACAAGGAGGCGTATCATCTGTTTCTGCAATTCTCGGCCTCGGGATAAAGCCTGTAAGTCCGAGCTTCTGATGGTCTCGAAACCCTTTGCGGCAGTGCCTATGAATTCAGTGGCCCGAAGCTGAGGCGATCTCCACTTGCCAAGGCCAGCTAGTGATAATCGAAAGTCCATCAGGTGCCAGGCAACGGCGGTGGCCAAGGATGTGCATGGAATCGTCGCCGAAACCATGGATTCATTCCTCAAGATTCCAAGCGCGACTGCGACCAGCAACACGCCTACAGCCGAGACAAGAAGGGCCAGCACAGTTTTGTTGATTGTCAAATTCAAAAGCTTTCCCTGGCTCTCCATCACCTGTTCATGCAGCAGGGCTGCTGAGTGTGTCATCTCCATCTGACACAAGACCAGAAGATGAATCGCCAGGAGGCTGGCGGAAATGACCGATATGATGGACGTTTCAAACATCTTGGACAAACTCTGAAGCAGGTAAAACTGCACTGAGAGATGGCTGGCTGTCAATACCCACTGACGCCGCAACAGAGATGGAAAAGGCTCCAGCAGCACGGCGTTGGCGCAGAAAAGGGAGGAGGAGGGCGTGGCCCCCTTGGCTATGACTCGAACATCTTCAGCCGCATTGGCAAGGACGATCCATCCCGGAGGGTCTGCCAAACGCCCCCACAAGGCAAATTCACCTCTGTGGATCAAAAAGTGCTGTAGCTGTTCGACCAATCCGCGTCTCTCTCTGTCGGCCTGGACCATTTCCAACACGGTCACCTCGCGACAGGCATCCAAAGGTTCGTCTGTGCGTAGTTCGCCTTTACCGGCTTCTTTGTACACAAAGCCATGCTGAATCAGAATGTACACCTTCGGAAGTCTGTCCCCGAGAAGTGTCTCCTTCCTGAGACCATCTGGTGGAGGAGTGTGCTGTTTCCAAGCAGCCTTCATCATCTTTCTGACCGACACGAGAACCAAACAGGTGGCACATAAACCCAGCGACAATACCAACACCTCCAAGAGCAGCAACAGCCTGTGAGGCGTAGATCTGGAAGAGTCTAAAGCTGGGTCCCATCCGATCAGTAAATTTATCAAGCGAAGGGGCAGGCCGGGAAAATGCAGTGCTGCCACGCAGGGATTCAACAGACCCTGCGACTTCCTGCAAAGGTAGACAATCCGTCCAAAAACTTCACGAGATCGCGGAAGAATCAATACTCTCCATGTCGAGCTGACATTTTGCACATCTCCCGGGAACATGTAAAGCTCTACTGCAGGAAGGACATAGAACTCGAGAGGCGGTGCTGCACTCTTGGGGACCTTTCGTCGCTGCACCTGAAGCGGCTGTTCGCAGGTAGCATCGGATGTGACGAAGAACTCCTGCGCTTCGAGGTAGGTGAAGTGTGGAGCTTCGAAGACCAAGGAGTGGAAGACGAACTCTGAGCTATCACTCCTCAGTCGTGGGCTACGACGCAGCAAGAGTGCTCCAGCACGTTGACAGAAGCGGAACATGGAAACTATGGAAACCCTGTTTGGAGCTGATCTTAAGAGGTTGCTTCCTGTCTGGGGTGTTAAGTTGGAATTATTTCCTGCCCAGGCTCGGAAGTGCTGTGTGGAGGCATTCCTTGGCCGTGCCATTCGTCTCGGCTGCAATGGCAGCTTCACGAAGTGATGCCGCCAATGTCCATGTTGCAATGTGGCAGACGAGGAGCAAGGGACATGAACTGGGCAGGTAACTGTGATGCATGGCCAGAAATGGCTATTGTCACCTGCAGAGTGCCGCAGATGCTGAAGATTGGAGGTGTGTGGCACTGACGAGCGGAATCACACCCCACAGAAGTCACCAAAGCACCGAGCGCCTGTGTCCCGAGCCTGCGGATGCCGCAGCTGCACTTCTCCAGCCTCAGCATAGAACAATTTTGGCTCCATCAAAAAACCGTGGATCCGATTCCGCGGAGTCTGGAAGCAGGACACGTGAGTTCCTCAAAAAAGCTGGATGCAAAGTCCGCAACATGGGCCTAAAACTTACTGTCTCGGCTCTCAAAGCCGGATTTGGGCGGGTTTGTGGAGATGTTTCCGTGTCTGCGTTCGATGACTGAATGAGCCCTTCGGAGGAAATTCACTACACCCCACAACTTCCACACCCAAGAGACCTCTGAATTCAAATCCTCAAAAAGCCCTCGGCCACGTAAGCACATGCTACTGATGCTTGCTGTACTCTCCACACCTATCTTAGCCGTCGAGGCCCAGGCAGAAAACTCAGACCACCTGAAACTGCAAAGCTCGAATCTCGCAAGCTTCAGCAGCAAACATGTTAAGAAGTTAAAACAGATATTGAAACTCTCCTTTAGCCCAAAAACCC